TACATTAGTTAAGGTTGACACCCATATCATCAGTTTGTCTGCATTCATTCAATAAGTCTGCCCAAATTATAAGTCAATAATTATATTAATGTCTTTTGCTTGGTTTACCAGTAGGCTCACATAGGGACTTCTACCCCAACCAAAAAAACTTCAACTTAACTTTTCAAAATAAAACTCATAATTAAAACTAAACCACATAAATCATTACATTCACAACCATAAAAATGTCATACACCTAATCATCCTCGATTGACATCAAATAAACCAAGTAGAAACCTCTTTCCAATTTAGGAATATGAAAGAGAACATGATTTGTAGACATAGGCATAACAATTGCTCTTATTCCTTATCTTCATGCCCTCACTTATTGCGCGGAAAGGGGTGGTTTGACCTATAAGAACCACTACCTTTAGAGTGAGTTTTTATTATGCATACCAATTGGCATTTCGAACAAACCTTCTATGCATTCATCATCATGGACTTGCATGACCCACTACAGAGCTTGCATCGATAAACTTAGCACTAGTTAAATACAACTAAGCATCTGAGTGTGGTGAGACACAAAACACTTAAATTTGAAATTTAAAAGTATGTTTACATTATTCTTAGGATATTTAACATAACATAAGAACTTAGGAAACTTGATTTATAATCAAGTCGTAAGGCCTATTACTCCTAAGAAATAACAACCTACCCTATCTTTCCTCATTGAGACAAGGCCATGCATGGTTTTGAATATGATTAGGTGGTTTATATGGCTGTTCTTTCCAGGCAGGGTAGTAAGTCCACAGCATTTTGATTGTTGTGTCTTTCGGTTAGGGTTTCAAAATTTCACTTCTCCCGGTGAACTTCACCCTAGGACTTCGGGGTTGTTTGTCAATTCATGACGTAAACCCTTACCTTTAGGCTCCGGCTTGATTGTATGTCGTGCAATATAAGTCCTAACATTCTAACAAAATAATAGAATGAAACATTAATTTTTTTCATCAAAAACATTAAATGCCAAACAACAGGATAGTCTGTGATATTACTGAGGTATCCTCGGTTTCTTCGACTGTTCCCTACCTCTTCTACCTTTAGCCTCTGATAATAACTATTCAACTTTTGAGCTTTTCCCATTTTGAGATCCAATTTCCAATCTTGTGATACTAAACTTAGAAATATCTTGAGGAAAAAAATATAACCTTAATTGAGAGTTTTCATAAGTGACTTCAGTTGTTTAAGATGTAATTAACTATAGAGGTTTGCTCTTATAGAAAGAAGAAGACCCCCATAACTAATCTAAACCTTATCAAGTTATCAAATTATGTAGGGGAAATAATCTATAGAATTTAAACTGCAGACTAGTGTAGATATCTAATGTTTTCTTAGTTTGAAAAATCAAACCCCTCGAAAAAGTTGTATTTCAACCTTTCATGTGGTTTACTACTTTTGATAACATGCTTGATTATTTAAATAATAAAAATATTCAAATTTATATGACACTTAAAGCCTTGCGTTAAAGTGAAAATAAAACCTGACAGTGGCACTGACGTTTTTTAGCCAAAAGAATATTACAGTAAAAAAAATAAACCTTCGCTAGTAATGAAAGCTGTCTTCTCCACGTCAGTTGGGTGCATTTTGATCTAGTGAAAAACAAAGAGAGCATCTAGGAAACTTATGTTCGAGTATCCTACCTTAGAGTTCACCAAAGTGTCAATCTTGAATAGTGGATAGTCATTTTTGGAGGAAATAAAATTCAAATTTGTGACATCCATGAACATCCTTCACTTGTCGTTGAACTTCTATATCAAAACCAAATTGGATAACCAAGATGGGTGATGAACGTCCTAAATTTAGCCAGCCACCAAGAGTGTTTTTAATTCCTACAAATTGGCCCAGCTATAGTTGTTGACGTTGATCAGAGCTTTCGCTTCACATACCAGGAGAATAAAATGGTGTTGAGTTTTTGGCAAGGCTCAATGATTGGCTTGCCCGACATTTTAGTTGTTAACCAGGCAAAAACATCAGATTCTTCATGGAGAGTCTGGATTAAAATCTGTTTGTGACCTGCATAAAATGTCTTACATATCAAAAAAAATTTACCAGGATCTTCGAGGAATTCAAGGATATTGATTATAATCTTGTCGATTTAATACCTCCTTCTTTTTAGTGATGTATATATTGCATCTAGTGTTCCATGCTTCTTACGGCTCGTAGATAACACATTTAGGACAACTCACAATATCCATGTACAGTAATTATCATCGCATCATAGGAAAATTTACTGCTACATGGAATGTAGGAAATGGTCACCGAATATTATATTCTAAGTTGGTAGCCCATCTACCACCAATAAGTTCCCCATAAAGGTGAATTGGTTGTCACAATTTCATCTGGTGACAACGAGTGTTATTATACCGAGTGCCTCCTTTTGTTTACACACAAATTAGTATAATGGGTCGGCTCATGTAGCTATCCGATTATTTGTCAAATTCATCTTCTCGAATGTAGCCCCAAGAAAAATGTTTCCCGAACTACCAGTGTTAACCATAATACTACCTAACTGATTTTTACTGATTAATGTAGGAACAACAATGGATTCCTTATAGAGATTCCCAACTGAAGGAAGATCAGTGTCAGTGAAATTGATCGGGGGATGAGGATTCCTTTTCAAGATGGAAGACATGACACAATAGTACTGTGATCGACTCTCTTTTTGATTGAGAATCGGGAATGAATCTCCTCCTAGTATTATTGCTACTATCCCAGCTATGCAGATAGCATTGGCTTAGGTAGGCTCTCCTGAATCGTCATCTGTGGAGGCTTTGTCCTTTGGTTGAGTTTTGACCTCCATAGCTGCAAATTCCCTGAGCATCTCAACTTGGATTGGCTCCTCCACCGAGAATCAAAGGTGCCTGCCCACCTCTGTATCATTCTCTTGGTCTTGGTGATACTTGCAATTTTTGCTTAGATTCTAAAGGGAAGCTCCGATTTTCGTTGGAGCAGCCTTTCAGAAATACTCCATAAGTTCTATGGTATCTACAAATTTCTCAATTGAAACTCACAGTGACATAGGCCTAAACATTCCTCGGTCTCGTGTAGATCGGTCATTCGATCGACTGCATCTATGCCCATATCATTTGTCCTCCTTGTTCCCTCTGGATGACCAGCCTCTCTCACATTTCAAATAAGGGCTATCCTTCTCTCTCCCTAGATCCTCTTTTAAGCTAATCTTGCTCAAATTACGATTCAATTTCTCTATTTTGAAATCGGTTGGTTCGTATACTCCTGGGCCGCAATGTTAAAGTTAGATAACTTTATGAGTTAAACCAACATCTCAGGTTTCGGCAAACCCAATAAAAATATCTGAACTATGAAATCTTCTCCTCGTGCAAGGGCTGCTTTAGGAATTGTTGGCTCTAGATTTCACACCTTGAGCATCTCCTTCTTGAACCTTGTAAGAAATGCCCACAGACACTCGTTCAGTTCTTGTTTTAAATACCACAAAGAATCTGAATCCTTTCTTGGCTTTTGGGCGGTAGCAAACAATGCTAAAAACAACTTTCTGAAGTCATCAAAGGAATTAATAATATCTACAGAGAGTCCATTGAACTACCTGAAAGCGCAATCTCTCAAAGTAATATTTAACAACCGACACTTCAATGTATCTGAAACCTTTAGAAGGCAAATTGTCGGCTCAAAGGACGTAATATGGTCAGAAGGGCACTCCAATACAAGTAAGATTCCAAAAATGGAGCCTTAAAATTTTTCGGGTGCTCAGCGTCAACAATATGTCTGGAGAATTTGTTATTTGTCCAGAAGTAGACTTCTAACGCTCCAGGTTATGGTCTCTCCTTTGAAGCTGACCTAACACTGTCTTGGTACTGAGACTACTTAATTCGTTTGGAAACTTGGACCTCTTGTTGAACTTGGGGTTTGGGTGCTGGTGGATCAGATTACAGGAGAGGCTGCGCCCTCCCTTCAAGCACCACTTGGGTCATTTCTGCAATTTGACCCGCCATCCTATCATGGAGTTCTTAATTTTCTTATTGCATGAATTCCCGTATGGACTGAACATTGGAAACTTCGTCATGATGTGTTCCTTCACCTTGACGTGTTCCTTATCTTGTTGAAGTAATGATTCTACGCTCATTGCACCTTTAAGAATTTTGCATCCTAAATTGTACCTTTAAGAATTTTGCATCCTAAATTGTCCTATGGATCATGCCTAACGAGTAGAGCGTTGGTCGAATAAAAAAAAAAGAGATTAGTCACAAGTAAAACCCCATTTTAAGGAAATTGTGCAATGGTCCTTTTTATTAGAAAATGACCCTCCTATTTATAGGTCATAAGAAGGATCTATCAAAATATATGATTCTCCTCCTGCAATGAAGACGTTACCACCATTTATGCGGCATTACAACTTTACATATTTGTAACCGAATCTGATATATTTTTACCCTGTAACCGAAGTTAGCGTCATTCTATATTCATAACTGCTATTAGCTCACTTCGTATTTGTAACTGCCTGATTTGATCAATTGATATTCATTTCGTAGGCCATAAGTTATTTGACCAATTAAATGATCTTTGACCAACTTTTTTGAGGGAACTCGTTGTGAAAACTCATTACTCTTGGGAATGATTATTGCATCACACAGAAGGTTCGTTACTGTAATCTGGGCAGGCTTCCTTCAGATGATGAGTTTATAAAAGGCGTTCCATCCAAAGGGCTACTGATTTTTCACAATGGAAAATTTTAGGTTCGTAGACGTACGATGTCTCTCGGGTCGGTCAATCCTTCGTTTGGTCGGCTTTAGAAGCTGACTGGTGTAGTGATGAATGATCGTACATCAACTCTCCTTGCACGATGCATAGGATCTTCTCAATATCGATGAAGATGTATTTCTAATGTATATACGATAAGAAAGAAAGAGTTTGGATGATTTTTCTCTGATCCCCTTGTTGTCTTTACAGAACGGGAAAGAAGAAAAAAAGTTTCCATTCATACAGTTATAATCAGATATCGTTGGCCAGATCAGCATCATTTGTACAAGATCAAAAGGCAAAAACACACACTATATGATAAAGAAATTTTTGTTTTCCCTCTATTACATTGAGAGCATGAGAAAGATGATCAATACAATCTCCATGAAACTTAACCACATAAATCTAGTGATGGAGCAAACTGGGAACCCATTGGAAGCCATGAAATCTGAGCCCTGAGTTGTTTGCACTCTACCAGCTTTGTTTCCTGCATCAAGATTACCTACAGTTCTGTTTTCTTCATGTTTACATTTACTCACTCCATCAGGCCCTTCCCCTGTTGTATTTCCATCTTTGAAGCCATAACAGAGATTTGGATTATTCCGAGAGGCGAATCTCCTTCCCATCCTTCTATAGAATTGCTGAGGAAATCTAAGCTCACCTGTGAGATTGTTTCCATTGAGATAAAGAGCAGAAAGACTAGGCATGTCTGCAAGCTTGGGAGAGACGAAGCCAGAGAGCTGGTTGCTGTCCAATGCAATGAATCGCAACTTCTTCAACTCTGTGATTGAATCTGGAATCTCACCAACAAGACCAATATTTGAAAGATCCAAATGTGTGAGATTTCTTAGATTTTTCCAACTAAATTCCTCGATACTTCCTCCTAATGGGTTGTTGGACAGAAGCATTTCTTGGAGAGAAAACATTCCTTGGAGAGACGGAGATAAACCGCCAGAAAGATTGTTGTTTCTGAGGTCTATAAGTACGAGATTTTTTAGTTTGCAAAGCTCTTGTGGCAGATTTCCAGTAAAAAAATTGTTGCTCAAATCAAGCTTAAGCAGTGAAGTAAGTCCAACGAGAGAGGAGGGCAGGGGACCAGTTAGCGAATTGTTGCTTAGGTCCATGATCAACAGCTTAGACCAGTTGGCTCCTAAGGAAGTTGGCACTTGCCCAGAAAGCTGATTTCCTAAAAGTGTTAACCTATTTAAGTGTACGAGATTCCCAATTTCCCAAGGAAGTTCCCCGCATAATGAATTCTCAGCGAGTACTAATGATTTAAGATTTACTAGTTGGCCTAGAACTGGAGGAATTTGACCTGTTAGTCCTCTGTTAAATCGAAACTCTAAGGTTTCCAAGCTTGAAGACAGCTTGTTCCAGTTTTGAGATGGAATGACAGTTGATTTTTGAAATGGCGATGAAAAGCAGTTGAAAATTGAGAGGCTTCGCAGGTGGCTGAGCTCGAAGAGATGTGGGTTGAACTCAGCATTGTTAGTGCAGCGGAGAGAGTTTTCGAGGATCGGGCCGATGTTTACAGTTGTGACATACCACAAACCATTTTCAAAGAGATCGCACGATACTCCCTGCAACAAAAAATTACATCTTTGAGAACAGCGTAGCATAAAGATTTAAATTTTTTTTCCAATTATCTGCCTAAACTGTATATTATTTAGGGATCCCAGAAGGCTGAAATTGTTTTTTAGGAAAAGTAGAGTATTTTTTTCGCATTGATTCCTCGTAGATGCATAACTAACAAAGAAACGTTCATATAATCCTTAATTTGATACAGAACTTAATAGACTGGGAAGCATTATGCAGTTAAGAGTTATTTCGCAGCTTATTCTCCAGTTTGTTAGCCTCCCTGCATGCAGTTGAGAAAACATGAACGGAGAGAGAGAGAGAGAGAGAGAGAGAGGGAGAGAAGATAAAATGAAAGAATAAGTTGGATAAACATGCTGTGAATGTCTTGAAATTCGAAACACGGCTTCTGAATTAGAAAGAAGATAAAATGAACGGAAAAAGTAGATGCAATTATGCATGTTTGCCTATGCGCTAGAGAGAGAGAGAGAGAGAGAGAGAGAGAGGAACAGCATACTGGAGTGTGAAGCTGGAGATAACTAAAAATTGTGCAAACCTGGATTGATGTCCAGCCACAAGGGTCAGGATAAAGCCCAGAACCATTCCACCATTTTCCGACAAAGCCTTGAATCATCATGTAGAGAGCTTCCTTCTCCTTTTCCTCCATTGGAGAAGTAGAGCCATCTGATTGAGACAGAGCTTGAAAACTAAGTAACTGCAGAAGGAGAATGGCAAGAACTGCAGTTGTTCCCCTCATTACTATTCCTTAATGACGAACTCCTCAGGGAACCTGGAACATATAAGTGGTTCCTATATTACAAGCACGAGGAATTTGAACTTTGAGAGAAGACCACCATGTGCATAAAAATTAAAAAGACACGATGTGGAGCGAGAAAACCGATGAGAAAAAGATGAAAATAAGCTCTAGAATTGCAGGTCAAACATCATAGAGAAGGGTCTACTTTGCTTCCTTTTGGGCTTAATTAGTAGGGGAGGAATCACATAAGGGAAGTGGGTAATAGCTTATAGATCCAAGAGTAGGATTTAGCTCAGCTTTTTCATCATCTAAGCCAAAAAGAAAGCGAAGCTCACAAGTTATGGAATGTTATAAGGAAGAAGAATTTAAGGATGCCTATGGCTTCTTTTCTCCGTCATGAATAAAAAATCACAAAAAAGAGAAATTTAACTTTTGGTGAGGGAAGAGTCAGGCCCTCTCCAACACAAAACAGAAATGGTAATCATGAAGACAACTTTCTAGTGGGCTGAATTTGGAGAAAGAGAACAGAACAAAAAGCTGAAAGAAGACTTCCGGGGTAAAGCAGAAGGATTTAGAAGATCGAAGTTGATAGTATTTATCGTAGTTGCTGTGATGTCAGCTAAGCAAGAAATCTACGGGGGACTGTGCTGTGAAAGAGAGTGGTGAACTGTACTCCTTAGAGATAGATTTCCTGCTTCCCTTTATTTTACCAAGTCTGTAGAATTTATTTGGGTTGTGGAACTTGTGCGGAAGGGCACAAAGGGATTGAGCGAGAAAAATATGTCTTTATTTGAGGGGATCATTTATATGCATGTAGGCGCCTGGTGCAAATGTTTTAAATGGAATTGTTACAAGGAACTTATTTTTTTCCATGATCTTAGTTCTTCATTAACATTTTCTTATAATTTCATTTAGTTTTAATTTTTATTTTGAAGAATAGATGAAAAAATATATTTATTGTAATTCAAATCTTTTACAATATTAAGGCACCATAAATTTTAGTAGGTTAGATCCCATGATTTTCCAACTTCAATTTTCACATAAGAAATGTAATGTCATTGTACTTCAAAAATGTGCCTCTGCGAATTGCAGCGACACCTCACGGGTAACTGAAGATGTCATGTGGTCTCGTGGGGCCAAGGGTGATCTGAGTTACATGATTGTCTGACCAATTTCTTCCTTGCATTGTGGAAACGGTGTTTCAGATAACGGAGGAATCACCCCAGAAGAATTTAGCTAAATAAATCCGTTCGGACACCATCCAACTTGGTTAAATCAAGAAAGTGAAATAGGCCCGTCAACTTTAGGGCAGATAGCAGTGACTTTCAAGGAGCAAGCATTGCACCTTATTATCACCCAGCCACGCAGCCACGCAGCCTAGTGGCTACTCGACCAAATGACAGTCGGCATACATGGACTAAGATACCCTCCTCTACTTACATGTTCTATGGGCGCAATATGTAAATGCATAAAAAACCATTCCTTTAAATAGGTGGTCCATTTGTGAATAAGGGTAGCACAAATTTACAGTTCCTTACCATGCTATCTCTCTCTCTCTCTCTCTCTCTCTTTTTCATCCCTCATTGCTTAATTTCTTAGACAGGTCTCTCAGACAGATTCAGATTTAACATTTTAAGAGATGCGTCAAGCCTAGAACCTTGTTGTCAACAAGAAGAGGAGCACAACGATCATAGAGGGAGGGAAGTAACAAAATAGCAGTGGACAAAATTACGCCCCACAAAATGACATGGAGGAATGTATGCTAAAAGAAATGAATGAGATGCGTACTCAAATTATTGATCAAGTGAAAATTCAAATCATCAAGCATTTAAGGGCAATTGCAACCCTGGCAGGAAACCATGCCCACAAGAACAAAACCAACAACATGTGGAGGCACTGGTGCACGACATCAAGAGGGCAAACCACGATCCTGAAATGAGTCGATGACTCGTAGTACCAAGATATTACCAAATCCATGTAAATGGAAAGTTGACTCGTCCGACATACTGAAGCCTCATGATTACCGAAGAAAACTTTCTCCCTCCAAATCTCTGAAGTGGAGCCCCCATAAAATTTTAAATTGCCGACCTTGAAAGCTTACTGAGGAATATCAAACCTGAATGACCACATCGCCACATTTGTGTCGACCAATTGCTTGCTCAAGATCTTAGGAAAATTCAAGTGTCATCTATTTTTCACCACTTTGAGGTCTTTGCCCTTGAAGTAGTTCCATGCGATCCTTATTGGCAACTTCAATAGCTTTGTTGATTTTGAGTGGTTGTTCTTGTCATAGTTTGCAAGCCCCCGAAAGCCCACGAAGAGCGTGCAGTTCCTATGGCAGCTCAAAGACAAGATTCAATGAGAGTTCATCGTGGATTTTTAGAGAGAAAAATTAGAGGTGAATGACCTCAAATTCAACACCGTCGTAGCCATCTTAAAGAAAGACTTGAGGTCAGAAAGAATTTCTTACAACCTCAGTATCAACGAACCCCAAGATTTAGCCAAGTTGTTGGAAAGGGCCAACAAGCATATGCTACCAGAGGAGAGAACCCACAAACAAGAACCAAAAGAATGCCACACACAAAAAGTGCTCCCCTAGATGGTGACCCGACCAGCAATTACACAAATATTTATGTTCTCGAATATGGGCAAAATCTTGACCCAATCTTGACCCGACCAGCAATTACACAATATTTATGTACGATTTTAGATATTTAGAGGTTAAACTGTTATATTGTGACAAATAGGTGCATACCTATTCCTTACCTCTTATGAGCATAAAGAACTTTGGCTAATCTAAAGTTAGTGTCGGCATGTATTGTAGTACTGGGTACATTTTTGTTTTTCACTCCTAGATTACCCATTGTGCCCTCTCTATAGAACCTACCAATGACCCTTAGTTCCAGTCTCTAGACAAAATTAAAAAAAGAATATTACCTGTCACCCTAAAAACATCAAATCTATGCCCATCAAATCTTATCTACCTATCTATTTTCACCCCTCTAGGACGATCGTTATGGTTCTTTCCGAAGTGAAATGTGACACTCACTAGTTAGAGAAATCTTACCCTCTCGGGTCTTTAATTTTTTCAAAAAAAAATTAACAATACAATTGGCCAATTTGTAAAGTAAATGAAGGACCAGTGAAAATATCATCATAAATTTTTAAAATAAAAGAAGTTCTAATCAAATTTAAACCACCACCTGATTACTTCATATTGTAAGGAGAAAGAAGAAAACTATTCAGAACACATGGAGATAATAAAAAAAAATATATTTACAAAACTCAAATCAAAGTGCAATACTTTAAAAAAGATACAAATACTTAATTGAAATGTTTTCCCACGCACTCTATTGAGTTTCACTAATTTCACTAACCCCAATAGACTCCTACAAGACTCACAAAACTCCAGAAACCATAAAGAGTCACAAAACTTACTAAGGTGGCTGCCCACTCTATATGGTGCCTCCCCATCTCAAAATGACTCTAGAAATCTCTCTATACGTGTAGAATTAATTTATATATATAGAGCTTAAAAAATCACCAAGGGTTGCTTCAGACATCTCTTCAAAATTCAGACTCCTTCAATGCATCATCTAGAAGCCTACACTGGCATCTAGGAGCCAAAACTGTCTCACCTTGGTAATAGCTGTGATCCTCCTCTGGCGCCTAGTTGCCCAAATCCGTTACATAGGCTCCAGTTAGGTTGATAGTGAAAATTTTTCTTGGTTTGGTCCATTTTGCTCCTTTCTGATGTATTTTTGCTTTTTTTACTCTTAAACTCATTTTCTTGCACCTGAAATCAAAATGCGCACAAAATACCTTTCATTAAAGTATAATATCCTAAAAATGGGTATAAAATGTGCATAAAAATAGGTAATTTTAATGTGGATCAGACGGCTCGAAACCAAGGAAAGAACGCAGAAAACCAATCTGACATTGTATCAAAGATGACTGGTCTTTTCACAATGGCGGAAGGTCCGAATGATACGAACAGAACGGTGGAAAAACTAGAAATCAAGAGCCTTCAAATAGCCCGATAATATGAGAGACCCGCGTTGTGATATGAACAGTCCTACAAAAACTATGATGGCTTGTTCGCTAACCCTCTAAGTTTATCGATGGAGCAAATTATGGATGCCATCTAGAAAAAAACGTTTTGCAAGAAGTCTACATCAATCAGTAGGGAAGGTTTTCTTCAAGGTGGATAAAAGTACTGCAAGTATCACCAGATTACGACCACAACACAAGGAAATGTAGGCACCTCCAAATTCTCATTGAGAAGTTGATCGAGGCAGAAAACTAAAAGAGTTTGTGTCCCAAGGACACCCAAGATACTATGGAAAGCACCGGCATTGGAGGCCTCATCTAAACTCATCGGATTGAATGTCGTTCATATCACCGGGGTTGTCCCAACAATCCTTGGAGAAATTGGTGGGTTGGCATCACTTTTGATGTCATGAGCGCAGGGTGTTAATTGGAGCACTACAAAACCTTGCTCACTGCATGTGTTGATTCCCATAGTCCTAAACATCCATTATGACCTCCAAGTATATACTTTGAGCATGAAATTGCGGTTAGTGTTGATTCAACAGTACTTCAAAAAGCTCATCGTTAGGTTGTGATAGTTTAGAAATGAGATGATTAATCCCGAGAACATATAGTTGTATAAAATTTATAAAGTTGAATCCGCTTTATAATAGTGCCAAAAACTTGATGTGGTAGGGATTCTACGCAAGTATTAATATTGTTATCAACTAATATAAGACTTTCTATTTAAGTCCCAAATATCGATCCCATGAGGAAGGTTTAACTTTGAGATGATAAATTAACTAGGAAATTTCCAGAAATACAATGAAATGACTATCACTAATTTTGAATGTTTTAAATATTATCAAAACTAAATTATTAACAACTAGCAAAATTTAAATGCAAAGTTTAAAACATTAACTACTAAACTATGTTTATGTGATGAAGTTTTCTTATATGAAATAACATCTGCCTCACTACAATGAGTTTTTGGTAAAATGATATGAGATAAATAGTTTAAATTTATATTGTGCCAAATAGGAGTAATTCTAATTCTCTACCATAATTCAGTGTTATAAAAAATCATTGGTTAATCTTAGGTTTAGTCCCTAAATTCATGGCTAGGCTAGGAAGATATTGGCTCCCACTCCATAGCTCCCGTTTCCCTTCACCTGAAGGCTAACTCTCGCTTTAGTTTTTAAACACTTAAATTGAATTGGGGATTTTTAGTCTATCACCCTAGAAATCTCCAATTCTACACCCAACAATGTATATTTCTCTATTTTTTTACACTTAATTCCATGAACGAAATAGTCCTTCATGGACTTAAATGTAATTCTCACTCTGTTGTTGAACTCATACTCCATTTCCCGGATCATATGTTTCACAACATATCTTAACAATTTAATTGTCCAGATCAAAAAGTAAATTAAGAGCGGAGTTGAAAAATCATCACAATTTATTGAATATCTTAACATTGGCACAATCAATTTATTTCTTCATTTCACTATATCTCAGAATAGAAAGAAAAATAAAGGAAACCACTCAAACTTCATGAGAAAGATACAACAAAAGATAAATTTCATATATAAAAGGAAGTTCATACAACAATGATAAACAAACAACACTTATCTGAAACTCTTTCTCAAAGCAAATCCCTTGTAGCCTCTCTTAGGAAAAGTAGGAAGAAGAAATCTCTCA